GCTCCCAGGCCGTCCTGCGTCCGTCTTGCCCTGGCTGGCCCGGGCCCTGACCCGCTCTCTTCCTCCGTCAGATCAGCTCTCGCTTGCAGCCTTTCTCAGAGCTGCCGGCCTTCCCTGGGGAGCCCAGAAGACATTCCCATCCTGTCCCCAGATTTCCCAGCCTCAAAGCCACTGTGGGACAAATGCGCGCCGACCTTGCCGAGCGGTGCCAGCCTCCAGCACTGGGAAGCCATATGGAAAGAAAAATTATCATAATAAGAGAGTATGTCATCCGAGCACTTGATGTTCACCCTCTCAGGGGTACAGGACATGATAGGATACCATATATGATATGCTAGGAGTTTGGGACCTGCTTCAGATGCATTTCACATGCCCTCCAAGGACACAGCAGAGTCTCCTTCCCCGGAGGATTCTAAACAGAGTCTGGATGGCCATCTGTCAGGAGCGATTGAGTGGTGTATTCCCTGAAAATAGAAAGGGGTTGGATTTGATGGCCTTTGGAGATACCTTCCAACTCTAGGATTCTATGAAAGCCTTTAAACTGAGTCAGGACGGCCATCTGTCAGGAGTGATTGAATGGTGTATTCCCTTATAACAGAAGGGGGTGGGGCTGGATGGTATTTGGAGGTCCCTTCCAGCTTCTAGGATTCTATGATTCCATTATCTATTCCACTATTGTTATCTAAAGGGTTTACAGTAGAAGACTGACCATCTGTCAGGAGAGATCAAATGGTGTTTCCTATCTGGCAGAAAAATGGGGTTGGACTTGATGTCCTTTGGTGGTCCCTTCCAACTCTGGGATCCCATGGAAGCCTTTAAACAGAGGGTTGTTGTAGGTTTTTTCAGGCTATATGGCCATGGTCTAGAGGCATTCTCTCCTGACGTTTCACCTGCATCTTTAAACAGAGTCTGGATGGCCATCTGTCAGGAGGGATTGAATGGTGTATTCCCTTACAGTAGAAAGTGGTTGGACTTGAGGGCCTTTGGAGGTCCCTTCCAACTCCAGGATTCTATGGAAGCCTTTAAACAGAGTCTGGATGGCCATCTGTCAGGAGTGATTGAATGGTGTTTTCCCTTATAGTAAAAAGAGGTTGGACTTGATGGCCTTTAGGGTTCCCTTTCAACTCCAGGATTTTATGGAAGCCTTTAATCAGAGGCTGGATGGCCATCTGTCAGGAGGGATTGAATGGTGTCTTCCCTTATAAGAGAAGGGTTGCATGGATGGCCTTTGGGGGTCCCTTCCAACTCCAGGATTTTATGGAAGCCTTTAAACAGAGTCTGGATGGCCATCTGTCGGGAGGGATTGAATGGTGTTTTCCCTTATAGCAGAAGGGGGCGGGATGACGTCCCTCCCACAGAAACAAAGTTTTGGCTGTTTAATGAACTTTCCCTATGTTTTTATGATAGAACCAATTAGGAAATGATATTGATCACCCAGGAACAAAAATCATGTTACAGACTGTGGTTGGTTTGAGGCTGAGAGAATGTGACTTTGAGGCCGAGAGAGTGTGACTTACCCAAGCTGGTTAAGTACGGGTTCGAACGGAAGTCTCCAAAGCGAAGCAATCAAACTATGGCATGCAAAGAATGAAAAACTTCGCTGGGCTCAAGGCGATGGGATCCCGGGAGTTGTAGTTTGGCAAGGCCTTGCGCTCTGCTTGCCAAATGCTGCTGACTCGGTGTCCTTGCCCAGCAGCTGCATCCAGGAATTGAGCTCCGTTTTTGCCCTTTTGGCTCCTTTAAAAGCCAGCGTCGCAAACACCTGTGAGCTGTGTTGCAATGTGTTGATGTGCATCCATGGCTTTTTGGCTTTTGCGGCTCTCTTGTTGTCATTGCCCGGGCGCTGGTTTCCGAAGCCGGGAAGTGGCACGGGAAGCCAGACAATGGGACATGGCACACATGCATGTCACAAGGCATTCATCGTCCCAGTCCCATCAATAATCCCTAAAGTTATCTTAAGAATAGGGTTGGCGACTCATGCTTAAAGCTGGCTGGGTTTTGTCGTACTTTAGCAACACTCTTTGCATGCATTGGATTGGCACATGGATGCATTGGATTGGCACATGGATTCATTGGATTGGTACATAGATGCATTGGATAGGCACATGGATGCCTTGGATAGGCACATGGATGCCTTGCATTGGCACATAGACTCATTGGATTGGCACATGGACGCATTGGATTGGCACATGGACGCATTGGATTGGCGCATAGATGCACTGGATTGGTGCATAGATGCATTGGATTGGCACATGGCTGCATTGGATTGGCACATGGCTGCATTGGATTGGCACATGGCTGCATTGGATTGGCACATGGATGCATTGCATTGGCACATGGATGCATTGCATTGGCACATAGATGCATTGCATTGGCATATGGCTGCATTGGATTGGCACATGGATGCATTGGATTGGCACATGGCTGCACTGGATTGGCTCATGGCTGCATTGGATTGGCACATAGATGCATTGGATTGCATTGGATTGGCACATGGATACACTGGATTGGCACAAGGATGCATTGCTTTGGCACATGGACTCATTGGATTGGCACAAGGATGCATTGGATTGGCACATGGATGCACTGGATTGGTTCATGGATGCATTGGATTGGCACATGGATGCTAAACTGCAAGGCTTTTGGCTTGGGAAGGTTTCCTCTCCTCGTCCTCTGCCCAGCTGCATATGCATGATATAATACACTAGCCGTCCCCTGCCAGGCGTTGCTGTGGCCGTCTGGAAGATAAAGTAATGAGAAAGTGTTTGATTACGTTTTCTTGCCCTGGTGAAGGGAGTAGGACTGGATGGCCTTAAGTATTTTGCATTGCTTATAGGGGTTCTGTGTGGGAAGTTTGCCCCATTTCTGTCGTTGGTGGAGTTCAGCATGCTCTTTGATTGTAGGTGAACTATAAATCCCAGTAACTACAACTCCCAAATGCCAAGGTCTATTTCCCCCAAACTCTATCTATGTTCACATTTGGGCATATTGAGTATTTGTGCCCAGTTTGGTCCAGATCCTTCATTGTTTGAGTCCACAGTGCTCTCTGGATATAGGTGAACTACAACTCCCAAACTCAAAGTCAATGCCCACCAAACCCTTCTAGTGTTTTCTTTTGGTCATGGGAGTTTTGTGTGCCAAGTTTGGTTCAATTCCATCATGGGTGGAGTTCAGAATGCTCTGTGATTGTAGGTGAACTATAAATCCCAGCAACTACAACTCCCAAATGACATAATCAAATTTTTGAGTGAAGGACATAGATTGGGTTATTAGGTGTCTTGTGTCCAAATTTGGCGTCGATTCATCCAGTGATTTTTGAGTTTTTGAGTTCTGTTAATCCCACAAACACACATTACATTTTTATTTATATAGACTATATTATACTAATAGTATAATATACTGATAGTGCATTATATATATTGTGGTATAATAATATAGCACAATATAATAACACAGAACAATATAATAATTGTATATTATATATTCCATGTCATATTACTAATAATATTGAAGTACAGTGGTATAGTCTATATGTGTGTGTGTGTGTGTGTGTGTGTGTGTATATACACACACACACACTTATATATATATATAAAATACTAATATTGTGCTAGGCTAATAATACAATATATTGTCTATACATATAATGTAATACAATATAATGCTAATAATACAATATAATAATATGCAATAATAATATTGCAATACAGTCATACAAATATTTTAAATATAAATAATATATAAATTAATAAATGATAATAAAATGCATTGTGAGGATGGAGACATAGACTTTGAGCATCAGAATGATTCAACAAAGCAAAAATGTGATTATTCTATTCTTTTCCAAGGGTGGTGCATCAATGCGTGCCAATACACTTGTCACCCACCTCCAAAAGACAGTGGGATGTCTAGTTTCCTGCCTCCTGCTAAAGGTCAACATTCCCCTCCTTTGCGTGCTTCCTGACCTATTCCTCCCTGCTTTTCCTGCCCATCCTTCCATCTATCCATCCTCCCCTTTTCCCTCTCACTCTCTTTCTCTCTTTCTCTCCGCCTTCCTTTCCCTTCTTTCCAGCCTTTGCTCACTCACTCCTTTCTTTTCAGTCCCCCTTTTCACTTCTCAAGGGAGAAGGGAAGGAGATCCATTTCCCCCAATGGACACCTCAACTGGTGCCACTGGCCTGCTAATGCCGTCTCCCTAATTCTCTCACCAGTTTGGAACTGGGAGAACTGGTCATTTTCCATTGACTTCTGAAGATGGCCCTTAAGTACCTGCTGCTTGCTGTTTTCCTCCATGGAGCATCTTGCAAACAGGTAGGAAACCAGGGAAAGGTGCAGGGAAGTTGTTGTTGTTGTTGTTGTTGTTATTTCTATCCATAGGATTAAGGTGCCTTACCATAACATCACCACCACCACCACCATCATCATCATTTCTATCCATAGGACTCAAGGCAGTTTACCATAACAATATTATTATTATTATTTTATTATTATTATTATTATTATTATTATTATTATTATTATTATTATTATTATTAGCTATAACCATCACACATTGCTGTGGCCAACCTTCTCTCTCTCTCTCTCTCTCTCTCTCTCTCTCTTTCTTTCTTTCTTTCTTTCTCTCCTTCCTTCCCTCCCTTTCCTTCCCTCTTTTTCTTTCCCTTCTTCTTTCTTCCTTCTCCACCTGTTTCTTTTCTCGCTTCCTTTGCTCTTTGGTTCCATCCTTCCTTGTCTCCTTCCTTCCCTCTTTCTCTCTTTTGTTCCTTCTCTCCTTCCCTCTTTCACTTTTTTTATTTCCTTCTCTCCTTCCTTCCCTACCTTTCTTTCTTTCCTTCTCTCCTTCCTTCCTTCTCTACACTTCTTTCTTTCCTTTCTTCCTTCTCTCTTTCCCTCCTTCTTTCCCTCCTTCTCTCCCTCCTTCCCTCCTTCCTTCCCTAATCTTCTTTCTTTCCTTCCTTCTCTCTTTCCCTCCTTCTTTCCCTTCTTCTCTCCTTCCTTCCTTTCTTCTCTACCCTTCTATCTTTCCTTCCTTCCTTCTCTCCTTTCCTCCTTCTTTCCATCCTTTTCTCCTTCCTTCTCTCCTTCCTTCCTTCTCTATCCTTCTTTCTTTCTTTCCTTCTCACCTCCTTCCTTCTTTCCCTCTTTCTCTCCATCCTTCTCTCCTTCCTTTTCTACACTTCTTTCTTTCCTTCCTTCTCTCTTTTCCCTCCTTCTCTCCCCTCCTTCTTTCCTCCTTCTCTCCCCTTTCTTTCCTTCCTTCTCTCTTTCCCTCTTTCTTTCCCTCCTTTTTCCTCCTTCCTCTCCTTCCTTCTCCCCTTCTTTTCTTTCCTTCCTTCTCTCCTTCCCTCTTTCTCTCCTTCCTTCTCTCCTTCCTTCCTTTCTTCTTTCTTTCCTTTCTTCTCTCTTTCCCCCTTTCTTTCCCTCCTTATCTCCCTCCTTCTCACCTTCCTTCTCTACCCTTCTTTCTTTCCTCCCTTCTCTCCTTCCCTCTTTCTCTCCCTCCTTCTCTCCTTCCTTCCTTTCTTCTCTTTCTTTCTTTCCTTCTATCCTTCCCTCCTTCTTTTCCTCCTCTCCTTCCTTCCTTCCTTCCTCCCCCCTTTATTTCTCTCCTATCTTTCTCCCCATGGGGACTCGAAGCAGCTTACCATAACATTATTATTATTGGGCTGCTGTGAGTTTTTCGGGCTGTCTGGCCACATTCCAGAAGCATTCTCTCCTGACGTTTCGCCTGCATCTATGGCAGGCATCCTTAGAGGTTTTGAGGTCTGTTGGAAACTAGACAATTGGGGTTTGTATATATACCTGCGGAATAATGTCCCGGGTGGGAGAAAGAACTCTTGTCTGTTGGAGGCAAGTGTGAATGTTGCAATTGGCACTGAAAGGATTTGCAGCTTCAAAGTCTGACTGCTTCCTGCCTGGGGGAATCCTTTGCTGGGAGGTGTTAGCTGGCCCTGATTATTTCATGTCAGGAATTCACAGAATCATAGAATCCTAGAATCAAAGAGTTGGAAGAGACCTCATGGGCCATCCAGTCCAACCCCATTCTGCCAAGAAGCAGGAATATTGCATTCAAATCACCCCGACAGATGGCCATCCAGCCTCTGTTTAAAAGCTTCCAAAGAAGGAGCCTCCACCACACTCCGGGGCAGAGAGTTCCACTGCTGAACGGCTCTCACAGTCAGGAAGTTCTTCCTCATGTTCAGATGGAATCTCCTCTCTTGTAGTTTGAAGCCATTGTTCCGCGTCCTAGTCTCCAGGGAAGCAGAAAACAAGCTTGCTCCCTCCTCCTCCCTGTGGCTTCCTCTCACATATTTATACATGGCTATCATGTCTCCTCTCATCCTTCTCTTCTTCAGGCTAAACATGCCCAGCTCCTTAAGCCGCTCCTCATAGGGCTTGTTCTCCATCATTTTAGTCCTCTGGACACATTCCAGTGAGAAGACAAAGAGAAAGAAGAAGAGGAGGAGAAGATGAGGAGGAGGAGAAGAGGAGGAGGAATAAGAAGAGGAAGAAAAGAGGAGGAGGAAGAAGAAGAAGAGAGAGGAGGAAGAAAGAAGGAAGAAGAAGAAGAGGAGAAGAGAAGGAAGAAAAGGAAGGAGGAAGAAGAAGAGGGGAGGAGGAAGAAGAAAAGAAGGAAAGGAGGAGGAAGAAGAGGAAGAAAGAGGAGGAGGAAAGAAGAAGAGGAGGAGAGAAGAAGAGAGAAGAAGAAGAAGAAGAGGAGGAGGAGGAGGAAGAAGAAGAAGAAGAAGAAGAAGAAGAAGAAGAAGAAGAAGCAGCAGCAGCCGCCAGTCAAGGGGGTCCCAGTGGTGATCAGCACACTGGGTGCAGTGCCTCATGACCTTGGCCTATACTTAAAAACAATTAGCGCTGACCAAATCACCACCTGTCATCTGCAAAAGGCCACCTGACTCGGATTTGCATGCATTATTCGCAGATACATCACACAGTCCTAGACACTTGGAAAGTGTCCAACGTGGGATCGAATACAACAGCCAGCAGAGTGATCTTGTTTGCTGTGTACTAATCTGGTTGTGTATTAAATAATAATAAATCTACACTGTAGAATTAATGCAGTTTGACACCAGTTTAACTGCCGGAATTCAATGCTATGGAATCATGGGAGTTATAGTTTTACCAAGTCTATTTGCAGCATTGCAATCAGTCATATAATTCCAAGGAGAGTTTGAAGAGCTTTCAAGTTTAATAGGACTGTAAAATTATTTGGTGTGGTTCGAGCGCCCTCTAGTGGTCTTCACTGGCGCAACAGCTTCTGGATATTAAAATTGAACATTGTTTTTTTAGGAGTCATTGACCGAGATATTATTATTATTATTATTATTATTATTATTATTATTATAAACACAACAAGATGAGTCCACAGCAGACAACATCCTTATTATGATTACTATTATTATTATTTATCCCCGGCTAGTCATTGACCGAGATATTTTTATAATAATAATAATAATAATAATAATAATAATAATAATAATGATAATATTATTATTATTATTATTATTATTATTATTTGAAACACAACAAGATGAGTCCACAGCAGACAATATCCTAATTATTATTATTATTTATCAGCGGCTAGTCATTGACCGGGATATATTATTATTATTATTACAAACACAATTGGATCACATGTCAGACACATCCTTATTATTATTATTATTATTATTATTATTATCATTAAGATATATTATTATTATTATTATTATTATTATTATTATTTCAAACACAACAAGATGAGTCCACAGCAGACAACATCCTTATTATTATTATTATTATTATTATTATTATTATTTATCACCAACTAGTCAATGACCAAGATATATTATTATTATTATTATTATTATTATTATTATTATTTCAAACACAACAAGATGAGTCCACAGCAGACAACATCCTTATTATTATTATTATTATTATTTATCACCAACTAGTCAATGACCAAGATATATTATTATTATTATTATTATTATTATTATTATTATTTCAAACACAACAAGATGAGTCCACAGCAGACAAAATCCTTATTATTATTATTATTATTATTATTATTATTATTATTATTATTTATCACTGGCTAGTCATTGGCCAAGATATATTATTATTATTATTTGAACACAACAAGATGAGTCCACAGCAGACAACATCCTTATTATTATTATTATTATTATTATTATTATTATTTATCACCAACTAGTCAATGACCAAGATATATTATTATTATTATTATTATTATTATTATTATTATTTCAAACACAACAAGATGAGTCCACAGCAGACAAAATCCTTATTATTATTATTATTATTATTATTATTATTTATCACCAACTAGTCAATGACCAAGATATATTATTATTATTATTATTATTATTATTATTATTATTATTATTTCAAACACAACAAGATGAGTCCACAGCAGACAACATCCTTATTATTATTATTATTATTATTTATCACCAACTAGTCAATGACCAAGATATATTATTATTATTATTATTATTATTATTATTATTATTTCAAACACAACAAGATGAGTCCACAGCAGACAAAATCCTTATTATTATTATTATTATTATTATTATTATTATTATTATTATTTATCACTGGCTAGTCATTGGCCAAGATATATTATTATTATTATTTGAACACAACAAGATGAGTCCACAGCAAACAACATCCTTATTATTATTATTATTATTATTATTATTATTATTATTATTATTGATCATTTATCACCGGCTTGTCATTGACTAGGATATAATATTATTATTATTATTATTATTATTATTATTATTATTATTATTATTATTATTATTAGAAACACAACAAGATGAGTCCACAGCAGACAACATACTTATGATTATGATTATGATTATGATTATTAATCATCGGCTAGTCATTGGCTGATATATATATATATATATAGGTCAATGACTTGCATTATGAAATAATTAAAAATACATAGTTACTTAACTAACCTGTTACAACATAATTAAAATGCAATAGATAAAAATATGAAATAATTTAAGACACGTTAAAAGCATTCAAACTAATAGAAAGTCAATTTCAAATGGTTCATATAACGGGTGGTGTTGATTTCGGGTTGTGTTCGAAGCAAGTTGCTGTGTTGGACTCCAGAATTCTCAGCATGGCCGGCATAGTGGCAGGGGATTATGGGAGTTGTAGTCATTTCTCTAGGCTCTGGAGTCCGTTCTGTTGCTATGGATTCCTTTGCAAAAGCATTGGACAAATCTCCGATGTCCTAATATCCGTTTCCTTCTTTTTTTTTCAGCTGAAATCTCCTTCTGAACATCAAGCGGGAGGTGAGTTTTCTTGGAGGAATTTGGGAATTATTATTATTATTATTATTATTATTATTACATATTATTATTATTATTATATTAATATGGCCATTTGCCTATATCTTCTCCTTGTCTATCGCTCCATCTGGCTACTGGTAGGGCCCTTTCCTAGACTGGAAGAGCTGGGACATTGGGAGTTGTAGTTTCCCAGGGTCGTGGCACTTTTTCTTCCCAAGAGTGGAAACTACAACTCCCAGGATCCCATAGCATGGAATCCGGACAGTTCACGTGAGGCAAAAAACATCCATTTGAAAGTCCAGCTGCACCCTTAGTGAAACTACAACTCCCGGGACCCTATCGCATGGAGCCAGGGCAGTTCAAGTGGGGTCAAATTGTGCCCTTAGTAAAACTACAACTCCCAGGATTCCAACACAAGGAGCCAGGACAGTTTAAACAGCCCGCTTAGTAAAACTACAACTCACAGGATCCCATAGCATGGAGCCAGAGCAGTTCAAGTGGGGTCAAACAGCACCCTTAGTAAAACTACAACTCCCAGGATCCCATGGCATGGAACTGGGGCAGTTCAAGTGAGGTCAAAAAGCACCCTTAGGAAAACTACAACTCCCAGGATCCCAACACATGGAGCCAGGACAGTTTAAACAGCCCCCTTAGTAAAACTACAACTCCCGGGAGCCCATGGCATGGAACTGGGGCAGTTCAAGTGGGGTCAAACAAAACCCTTAGTGAAACTACAATTCCCAGGATCTCATGGCATGGAGCCAATGCAATTCAAGTTGGGCCAAATGGCACCCTTGCTCAAACTACAACTCCCAGGATCCCATAGCACTGAGCAGTGACAGTTCAAGTAGGGTCAAATGGAATCCACTTGATAGTTCAGATGCCCCCTTAGTAAAACTACAATTCCCAGGATTCCATAGCATTATAGCAAAGAGCAGTGGGGTGGGTAATGATGTGGACTAACATGCCTTGACAGCCCGCTTTGAATCCTGCAGCGGTTCCCTTTGCGGAGGTCTGGCGCCGGAGCTACTGCCGCTCCCGGGAAACGCTGGTGGACATCTTGGCTGAATTCCCCCACGAAGCTGAGCACATCTTCAAGCCGCCGTGCGTCCCGTTGTGGCGATGCGCCGGGTGCTGTGGAGACGAAAGCCTGGAGTGTGCCGCGGTGGAGACGCGCACCATTGACCTGCAGGTCGGTTAAGGTTAGGGCCAGGAGCATTGATCCTAGAGGTTGACTGGATTCTATGTTGATCCTAGAAGTTTGCTCATTCTACGTTGATCCTAGAGGTTTGTTTGGTTCTGTGTTGATCCTAGAGGTGGTTTGCTAGAGTCTACGTTGATCCTAGAGGTTGACTGAATTCTACCTTGATCCTAGAGGTTTGCTAGAGTCTACGTTGATCCTAGAGGGTGACTGGATTCTACGTTGATCCTAGAAGTTTGCTAGAGTCTACGTTGATCCTAGAGGTTGACTGGATTCTACCTTGATCCTAGAGGTTTGCTAGAGTCTACGTTGATTCTAGAGATTGACTGGATTCTACGCTGATCCTAGAATGCTTGTTCTACATTGATCCTAGAGGTTTGCTAGAGTCTACGTTGATCCTAGAGGTTGACTGGATTCTACGTTGATCCTAGAAGTTTGCTTGTTCTACCTTGATCCTAGAGGTTGACTGGATTCTACGTTGATCCTAGAAGTTTGCTAGAGTCTACGTTGATCCTAGAGGGTGACTGGATTCTCCGTTGATCCTAGAAGTTTGCTTGTTCTACGTTGATCCTAGAGGTTTGCTAGAGTCTACGTTGATCCTAGAGGTTGACTGAATTCTACCTTGATCCTAGAGGTTTGCTAGAGTCTACGTTGATCCTAGAGGTTGACTGGATTCTACGTTGATCCTAGAAGTTTGCTAGAGTCTACGTTGATCCTAGAGGGTGACTGGATTCTACGTTGATCCTAGAAGTTTGCTAGAGTCTACGTTGATCCTAGAGGGTGACTGGATTCTCCGTTGATCCTAGAAGTTTGCTTGTTCTACGTTGATCCTAGAGGTTTGCTAGAGTCTACGTTGATCCTAGAGGTTGACTGAATTCTACCTTGATCCTAGAGGTTTGCTAGAGTCTACGTTGATCCTAGAGGTTGACTGAATTCTACCTTGATCCTAGAGGTTTTCTAGAGTCTACGTTGATCCTAGAGGGTGACTGGATTCTACGTTGATCCTAGAAGTTTGCTAGAGTCTACGTTGATCCTAGAGGTTGACTGGATTCTACGTTGATACTAGAAGTTTGCTAGAGTCTACGTTGATCCTAGAGGGTGACTGGATTCTACATTGATCCTAGAAGTTTCCTTGTTCTACCTTGATCCTAGAGGTTGACTGGATTCTACATTGATCCTAGAAGTTTGCTAGAGTCTACGTTGATCCTAGAGGGTGACTGGATTCTCCGTTGATCCTAGAAGTTTGCTTGTTCTACGTTGATCCTAGAGGTTTGCTAGAGTCTACGTTGATCCTAGAGGTTGACTGAATTCTACCTTGATCCTAGAGGTTTGCTAGAGTCTACGTTGATCCTAGAGGGTGACTGGATTCTACGTTGATCCTAGAAGTTTGCTAGAGTCTACGTTGATCCTAGAGGTTGACTGGATTCTACCTTGATCCTAGAGGTTTGCTAGAGTCTATGTTGATTCTAGAGATTGACTGGATTCTACGTTGATCCTAGAAGTTTGCTTGTTCTACATTGATCCTAGAGGTTTGCTAGAGTCTACGTTGATCCTAGAGGTTGACTGGATTCTACGTTGATACTAGAAGTTTGCTAGAGTCTACGTTGATCCTAGAGGGTGACTGGATTCTACGTTGATCCTAGAAGTTTGCTTGTTCTACATTGATCCTAGAGGTTTGCTAGAGTCTACATTGATCCTAGAGGTTGACTGGATTCTACGTTGATCCTAGAAGTTTGCTAGAGTCTACGTTGATCCTAGAGGGTGACTGGATTCTCCGTTGATCCTAGAAGTTTGCTTGTTCTACGTTGATCCTAGAGGTTTGCTAGAGTCTACGTTGATCCTAGAGGTTGACTGAATTCTACCTTGATCCTAGAGGTTTGCTAGAGTCTACGTTGATCCTAGAGGGTGACTGGATTCTACGTTGATCCTAGAAGTTTGCTAGAGTCTACGTTGATCCTAGAGGTTGACTGGATTCTACCTTGATCCTAGAGGTTTGCTAGAGTCTATGTTGATTCTAGAGATTGACTGAATTCTACCTTGATCCTAGAGGTTTGCTAGAGTCTACGTTGATCCTAGAGGTTGACTGAATTCTACCTTGATCCTAGAGGTTTGCTAGAGTCTACGTTGATCCTAGAGGGTGACTGGATTCTACATTGATCCTAGAAGTTTCCTTGTTCTACCTTGATCCTAGAGGTTGACTGGATTCTACATTGATCCTAGAAGTTTGCTAGAGTCTACGTTGATCCTAGAGGGTGACTGGATTCTCCGTTGATCCTAGAAGTTTGCTTGTTCTACGTTGATCCTAGAGGTTTGCTAGAGTCTACGTTGATCCTAGAGGTTGACTGAATTCTACCTTGATCCTAGAGGTTTGCTAGAGTCTACGTTGATCCTAGAGGGTGACTGGATTCTACGTTGATCCTAGAAGTTTGCTAGAGTCTACGTTGATCCTAGAGGTTGACTGGATTCTACCTTGATCCTAGAGGTTTGCTAGCGTCTACGTTGATTCTAGAGATTGACTGGATTCTACGTTGATCCTAGAAGTTTGCTTGTTCTACATTGATCCTAGAGGTTTGCTAGAGTCTACGTTGATCCTAGAGGTTGACTGGATTCTACGTTGATACTAGAAGTTTGCTAGAGTCTACGTTGATCCTAGAGGGTGACTGGATTCTACGTTGATCCTAGAAGTTTGCTTGTTCTACATTGATCCTAGAGGTTTGCTAGAGTCTACGTTGATCCTAGAGGTTGACTGGATTCTACGTTGATCCTAGAAGTTTGCTAGAGTCTACGTTGATCCTAGAGGGTGACTGGATTCTCCGTTGATCCTAGAAGTTTGCTTGTTCTACGTTGATCCTAGAGGTTTGCTAGAGTCTACGTTGATCCTAGAGGTTGACTGAATTCTACCTTGATCCTAGAGGTTTGCTAGAGTCTAAGTTGATCCTAGAGGGTGACTGGATTCTACGTTGATCCTAGAAGTTTTCTAGAGTCTACGTTGATCCTAGAGGTTGACTGGATTCTACCTTGATCCTAGAGGTTTGCTAGAGTCTACGTTGATTCTAGAGATTGACTGGATTCTACGTTGATCCTAGAAGTTTGCTTGTTCTACATTGATCCTAGAGGTTTGCTAGAGTCTACGTTGATCCTAGAGGTTGACTGGATTCTACGTTGATCCTAGAAGTTTGCTAGAGTCTACGTTGATCCTAGAGGGTGACTGGATTCTACGTTGATCCTAGAAGTTTGCTAGAGTCTACGTTGATCCTAGAGGTTGACTGGATTCTACGTTGATCCTAGAAATTTGCTAGAGTCTACGTTGATTCTAGAGGGTGACTGGATTCTACGTTGATCCTAGAAGTTTGCTAGAGTCTACGTTTATCCTAGAGGGTGACTGGATTCTACGTTGATCCTAGAAGTTTGCTAGAGTCTACGTTGATCCTAGAGGTTGACTGGATTCTACATTGATCCTAGAAGTTTGCTAGAGTCTACGTTGATCCTAGAGGGTGACTGGATTATACGTTGATCCTAGAAGTTTGCTTGTTCTACATTGATCATAGAGGTTTGCTAGTTTCTACGTTGATCCAAGAGGTTGACTGGATTCTACCTTGATCCTAGAGGTTTGCTAGAGTCTACATTGATCCTAGAGGTTGACTGGATTCTACCTTGATCCTAGAAATTTGCTTGTTCTACATTGATCCTAGAGGTTTGCTAGAGTCTATGTTGATCCTAGAAGTTGACTGGGTTCTACGTTGATCCTAGAAGTTTGCTTGTTCTACCTTGATCCTAGAGGCTTGCTTGGTTCTGCGTTGATCCTAGAGGTTTGCTGGATTCTACGTTGAACAAAGAGGTGCCCTAGATTCTACGTTGATTTTATGGGTATGCTACATTCTACATTGTTCAAAGAGGTGTGCTAGAATCTTTGTTGATCATAGAGGTTTGCTGGATTCTACATTGATCCTAGAAGTTTGCTAGATTCTACATTGTTACCAAGAGGTGTACTAGATTCTTCGTTGATCATAGAGGTTTGTTAGATTCTCCGTTGATCATAGAGGTTTGCAGGATTGGTCCTAGAGCAGTGTTTCTCAACCTGGGGGTCGGGACCCCTCTGGGGGTCACAAGGGGGTGTCAGAGGGGTCGCCAAAGACCATCAGTAAACATAGTATTTTCTGTTGATCATGGGAGTTCTGTGTGGAAAGTTTGGTCCAATTCTATCGGTGGGTTCAGAATGCTATTTCATTGTGGGTGAACTATAAATCCCAACAATTACAACTCCCAAATGGCAAGGTGTATTTTCTCCAAACTCTACCAGTGCTCACATTTGGACATATTGAGTATTTGTGCCAAGTTTGATCCAGATCCATCATTGCCTGAGTCCACAGTGTTCTCTGGAAGTAGGTGAACTACAACTCCAAAAAAGTCAAGGTCAATGTCCACCAGACCTTCCCAGTATTTTCTCTTGGTCATGTGAATTCTGTGTGCCAAGTTTGATTCAATTCCATCATTGGTGGAGTTCAGAAGGCTCTTTGATTTTAGGTAAACTATAAATCCCAGCAACTCCAGCATTCCGAAATGACAAAATCAATCACCCCCATCCCACCAGTACTCAAATTTGGGCATATTGGGTATTTGTGCCAAATTTGTTCCAGTGACTGAAAATACATCTTGCATATAAGATATTTAGATTACGAATCATAACAGTAGCAAAATTACAGTTGTGAAGTAGCAACGAAAATAACATTATGGTTGGGGGTCACCACAACATGAGGACCTGTACTAAGGGGTCGCGGCATTAGGAAGGTTGAGAACCACTGTCCTAGAGGTTTGCTAGATTCTACATTATTCAAAGAGGTGTACTAGATTGTCCATTGATCATAGAGTTTGCAAGATTCTACGTTGATCCCTAGAGGTTTGCTAGAGTCTATGTTGATCTTAGAGGTTTATTGGATTCTACATGGATCCTAGAAGTTTGCTAGATTCTACGTTGATTCTAGAGGTTTGTTAGATTCTACGTTCATCCTAGAGGTGTCCTAGATTCTATGCTGATCATATGAGTTTGCTAGGTTCTAAAATGTTCAAAGAGGTGTGCTGGATTCTTTGTTGACCATAGAAGTTTCCTGGATTCTACATTGACCATAGAGGTTTGATAGATTCTACGTTGATCAAAGAGGTGTCCTAGATTCTCTGTTGATCCTAGAGGTTTGATAGATTCTACGTTGAACCTAGAGGTTTGCAGGGTTCTACGTTGATCCTAGAGGTTTGCTAGATTCTACGTTGAACCTAGAGGTTTGCAGGGTTCTACGTTGATCCTAGAGGTTTGCTAGATTCTACGTTGAACCTAGAGGTTTGCAGGGTTCTACGTTGATCCTAGAGGTTTGCTAGATTCTACGTTGAACCTAGAGGTTTGCAGGGTTCTACGTTGATACTAGAGGTTTGCTAGATTCTACGTTGAACCTAGAGTTTTGCAGGGTTCTATGCTGATCCTAGAGGTTTGCTAGATCTACGTTGAACCTAGAGGCTTGCTAGATTCTACGTTGAACCTAGAGGCTTGCAGGGTTCTACGTTGATCCTAGAGGTTTGCAGGGTTCTACGTTGATCCTAGAGGTTTGCTAGATTCTACGTTGAACCTAGAGGTTTGCAGGGTTCTACGTTGATCCTAGAGGTTTGCTAGATTCTACGTTGAACCTAGAGGTTTGCAGGGTTCTACGTTGATCCTAGAGGTTTGCTAGATTCTACGTTGAACCTAGAGGTTTGCAGGGTTCTACGTTGATCCTAGAGGTTTGCTAGATCTACGCTGAACCTAGAGGCTTGCTAGATTCTACGTTGAACCTAGAGGCTTGCAGGGTTCTACGATGATCCTAGAGGTTTGCTAGATTCTACGTTGAACCTAGAGGTTTGCAGGGTTCTACGTTGATCCTAGAGGTTTGCTAGATTCTACGTTGAACCTAGAGGTTTGCAGGGTTCTACGTTGATCCTAGAGGTTTGCCAGATCTACGTTGAATCTAGAGGCTTGCTAGATTCTACGTTGAACCTAGAGGCTTGCAGGGTTCTACGTTGATCCTAGAGGTTTGCAGGGTTCTACGTTGATCCTAGAGGTTTGCTAGATTCTACGTTGAACCTAGAGGTTTGCAGGGTTCTACGTTGATCCTAGAGGTTTGCTAGATTCTACGTTGAACCTAGAGGTTTGCAGGGTTCTACATTGATCCTAGAGGTTTGCTAGATCTACGTTGAACCTAGAGGTTTGCAGGGTTCTACGTTGATCCTAGAGGTTTGCTAGATTCTACATTGATCTTAGAGTTTTGTTGGACGCTATGTTGATCCTAGAGGTTGGCTGGATTCTACATTAATCACAGAGGTGTGCTAGATTCTACGCTGATCATAAGGTTGGCTGGATTGTATGTTGACCATAGGCGTTTGCAGGAGGCCCTCTGCATCAGTTCAGGAATAGAGTCATGGAAGGAGGGGGAAGGGGCCGCCAGTCCAAGTCACAAGAAAAGTAACTAGTTCCTTTTGCAAAGTAATGACTCCAGTAACTACTTTGTCTCCTGCTCGCAGGTGGTGCGTGTGAGCCCCATCCTGGGCAAGACGCAGCAGGAGGTCATGACGTTCACGGAGCACACGCGGTGTGTTTGCCGGTGAGTGAGTTAGGGGCACGTTCCAAGCCACTGCGAGAAGACCTCTCCCTCTGCCAAAACATGCATTTTCATCTGTCTAAGAATCCAATTTCTATGTTCTTTTCCAGGCCTCGGCGAAAACGTTTGAAAAAAGAGAGGTATGTATGTCTTCATGTCAATGTATACCCTGATTTTCTCCTGTCATGGGACCTAAGGGCACTTGCCATAATTCAAAACAAAAGCTTAGCTTAAATGTTATATTACAGGTGTGTGTGGATGTATATGTGTGTATATGTGCCTATGTATGTATATGTATGTGCATATATATGTATGTAGAGATGTGTGTGTAAACGTAAGTATATCTAAATGTGAATGTTCATGTATATATGTATGTAGATACATATATGTTTAGCTAAAATGTTATATTACAGAGGTGTGTGGGTGTATATGTATGTATGTGTGCCTATGTATGTATATGTTGTGTTCTGTATGCATGTATATATGTGTGTGCATGTATATATATGGATTATTATTATTATTATTATTATTATTATTATTATTAAACTTTATTTGTACCCCGCTAGCATCTCCCAAAGGACTCGATGCGGCTTACACAGGTCAGGCCTCAACACACAATATAACAATAGAATCTAAGCAAATCAAAACAGTTAAAGCAAAATAAAACAAAAATGAACAACAGGCAATAAACAATACACTAAAGCACAATAAAACTGGGCCGGGCCAGAGTAATCGGTACAAGATTAAAAGTGCTGATGTGAGAGGTGGTATATATGAGGCTTCTAGGGCAAGTGCAATGTGCGGTGTGCAGCAATCATTGGTTCTGATAAAGTGCTTATGGGACTTGGTAGTGGAGATTTCCTAATCTGGGAAGGCACATTGGAACAGCCAGGTCTTCAGGTTCTTTCTGAAGACTGCCAATGTAGGGCCTGTCTAAGATCTTTGGGGTCGGGGGGCCACCACCAAACCGTTCAGGGTCCCAAACCGTTCAGGGCTTTGTAGGTAAGCACCTGCACCTTAAATTGGGCTCGGAAAATAAACAGCAGCCAGTGGAGCTCCTTGAACAGGAGGGTTGACCTCTCTCTGTAAGGAGCCCCAGTTAACATCCTGGCTGCTGCCCGTTGGACCAGTTGGAATTTCCGAGCCGTTTTCAAGGGCAGCCCCACGTAGAGCGCATTGCAGTAGTCCAATCTAGAGGTGACCAAGGCAATGGACCACCCCGGCCAGATCAGCCTTCGCGAGGTACGGTCGCAGTTGGCGCACGAGTCACAGTTGTGTGAAAGCCCTCCCAGACACCGCCGACGCCTGAGCCTCAAGTGTGAGCAATGAGTCCAAGAGGACTCCCAAACTGCGGATCTGTGGCTTCAGGGGGAGTGTAACCCCGTCCAACACAGGTTGCCACCCTATACCCCTATCTGGTTTACGATCGACCAGGAGGACCTCTGTCTTGTCGGGATTGATCTTCAGCTTGTTCGTCCTCATCCAGATAGACACAGCGGCCAGGCACTCGTCCAGCACCCGAGAGGCCTCCTTGGAATTAGGTGGAAAAGAGTAGTAGAGTTGTGTGTCATCTGCGTAGAGATGGCACCCAACTCCAAAACTCCGGATGACCTCTCCCAGCGGTTTCATGTAGATGTTAAAAAGCATGGGAGACAGAATAGAGACTTGCGGGACCCCACAGGTCAAAGGCCAGGGGTCCGAGCAGGCGTCTCCCAGCTTCACCATCTGGGATCGACCCTCCAGGAAGGAACGGAGCCATGACAGAGCCGTGCCCCCAAGGCCCATCCCAGAGAGACGACCCAGAAGGATACCATGATCGATGGTATTGAAAGCCGCTGAGATGTCCAAGAGAACCAACAAGGTCACACTCCCCCTGTCCAGCTCTCTACGGAGGTCATCCACCAAGGCGACCAAGGCAGTCTCGGTGCCGTGACCAGGCCTGAAACCAGACTGTGACTGATCTAGGTAGTTGATGTCATCCAAAAAGCCCTGGAGCTGGGAGGCCACCACCCGCTCCAACACCTTACCCAAGAAAGGGAGGTTGGAGATTGGTCTGAAGTTGTTCAGCACCGTGGAGTCAAGGGAAGCCTTTTTGAGGAGTGGCCAAACCACAGCCTGTTTCAGATGAGATGGAAAAAAACCCCTGCTCCAATGATGCATTAATGATCAACACAAACCAGTCAACCAACCCCTCCCTGGCCGATTTAATTAACCAGGACGGGCAAGGGTCTAGAGTCGAAGTGGTCGTCCTCACAGCCCCAAGGACCTCTTCCACGGTCTCAGGAAGAACAAGCCTAAAAGAATCCCACAAAATTGGACAAGCAGATGCCTCAGTCACCTCATCTGGCACTGCGATAAAATTGGAGTCGAGCTCAAGGCGTATCTGAGCGACTTTGTCTGCAAAATGGTGTGCGAACTCGCGACACCGAGTTGCTGGGTCGTCAAAAATCTCCTCCACCACAGGTGGGTGAAGGAGTTCCCCAATGACCCGGAACAACTCCGATGATCTATTTGCTGCAGACGCTATACGGGTAGTCATATAGGACTCCCCGGCTACCCGTATAGCCATGGTATACGCCCTAAGAGATGTAGATATATATGTATGTAGAGATATGAGTGTGAATGTAAGTATATCTGAATGTACATGTGTGTGTGTATATGTATGTGGGTGTATATATATGTGGCCTTGAGATCGTCTGGGGAGGCCCTTCTCTCGATCCCGCCTGCCTCACAGGCACGCCTGGCGGGGACGAGAGAGAGGGCCTTCTCGGTGGTGGCCCCCCGGCTGTGGAACGCTCTCCCTGCTGACATTAGACAGGCGCCCTCCCTTATGTCCTTCCGTAAGAGCTTAAAGACCTGGCTATTCGAGAAGGCATTTAACTGAGTGCTATACTAATTGGTAATGACAACCGGAACGAAATGGATTACGAGATTGGTTACGATTCGATGATGGAACGGAGCGGATTATTTAGTGTAATTTAGATTGTGTATTTTGATATGTTGATTCTCTGTTTGTGTTCTATTGTAAATGGTTTTTATATGTTGTACACCGCCGCGAGTCGCCCCAGGGCTGAGAGCGGCGGTCAACAAATGCACCAAATAAATAAATAATAATAAATAAATATATGTATGTATATCTGAATGTGCACATTTGTGTATATATGTATGTGGGTGTATATTTGTATGTATAACTGAATGTACATGTGTGTAAATATGTATGTGGGTACATATATGTATATGCGTGTGTCATATATATGTGTGTGTGTGTGTATATATATATGAATGTGAGTATATATGTTTGTGGGTATATATGAATGTGCATGTGCATGTATATATGTTTGTATATCTGAATGTGCATGTTTGTGTATATATGTATGTGGGTATATATGTGCATATATATCTGAAGGTACATATATGTATAATAAATAATAATAATAATAATAATAATAATAATAATAATAATAAACTTTATTTGTTTGTATACTTGCATATGGGAGTGGTAATCCTCCCATACTCACTGAACCTACCTGGGGAGACATAAGGACTATGCCCTTAAAACCTGTTGTAAGGTGAATGGCTCCTTCTCTTCTGCTTGCAGGATCCACCGGATCGGGGCCAAGAGGAAACCCCGAGAACCAGAAACGACGTCTTCCCCTCCGCTGTATGTAACCCATAGCATTGCATTGCACACAGGCTTGGGCAAACTTCAGCCCTCTCTCTAGGTGTTTTGGACTGCAACTCCCATCATTCCTAACAGCCGGTAGGCTGTTAGGAATGATGGGAGTTGCAGTCCAAAACACCTGGAGAGAGGGCTGAAGTTTGCCCTTGTTTGGTCTACACTGGATGGCACCACTTGGGGCCAAACTGCACCATATTGGAGAGTACTATATATAAATGTTTTGTTGTTATTTTGTTGTTTTCTGCAGCAGTTGCCAACTTTCCAACAACGCTGACCAAGTCCAAGACGAAGCTATGGATCCGACTGAAACCGAGAACGTGTCCTGAAGATGTCATCACGCAACATGATGCATCTACAGTGTACAATTAATGCAGTTTGGGACTGCTTTGACTGCCATGGCTCAATGCTGCGGAATGCTGAGAGTTGAAGTTTGCTCAAGGCCTTTGGAAACTACAGCTCGCTCGATCCCATAACATGGAAGTCCAAAGTAGTGCCAAACTGGATTCATTCTACAGTGTAGATGACACCTTTATGTCTGACTTATCCCTATAGTTCTATGCCCCATATATATATATATATATATATATATATATATATATATATATATATATTCAAGCCTCTTATTGTTTTCTATGACTTCCTTTCCGAATACCTATTTTTGCAAAGCATTTATTTATGACTACCTTGGGGACCCGGCATTGTGCTCCAAGTTTAGTCTAGATCCAGATGGGTTCAGTGAGTATGGGTGGATTACCACTCCCATATGTAAGTCCCATCATCCGTGGTCCATCCTCCTCCAAACTGCACCAGGATGTAGGGTGGGTCGTGGGGGCTCTGTGTGCCAAGTTTGGTCTTGATCATTCATTGGTGTGGGTCACAGTGGTCTCTGGAAGTGAGTGAAGGTACTGCAAATCCCATCATCCATTGTCCGTCATCCCCCAAACCGCACCAGGATGTAGAGTGGGTGATGGGAGCTCTGTGAGTCAAGTTTGGTCTTGATCGGTCATTGGATGAGGGTTGCAGTGGTCTTTGGAAGTGAGTGAAGGTACTGCAAATCCCATCATCCATTGTCCGTTGTCCCCCAAACTGCACCAGGATGTAGAGTAGATGATGGGGGCTCTGTGAGCCAAGTTTGGTCTTGATCGGTCATTGGATGAGGGTTGCAGTGGGCTCAGGAAGTGAGTGAAGGTAATGCAAGTCCCATCATCCATGGTCCAGCCTCGCCCAAACCACATCAGGATGTAAAATGGATCATGAAGGGTCTGTGTGCCAAGTGTGGTCCTGGTCTGTGATTAGTGGAGGCTGCAATGTTCCATGAGAAGTGAATTGGGTGAAGGTACTGCAGATCCCATCATCTGTGGTCCATCTTCCCCCAAGCTTCACCAGGGTGTTATGTGTGCCAAGTTTGGTCCAGGTCTGTCATTCATGCTGGTCCCAATGGTTTCACGACGTGAGTGACAGTACTGCAAGTCCCATCATCTGTGCCCCACCCTCCCCCAAACCACACCAGGATGTCCAGTGGGTCATGGGGTTTCTGTGTGCCAAGTTTGGCCCAGTTCCATCATTGGTGGGCATCCCAGTGGTCTGTGGGAGCTGAAGCAATTCAAAGTACTGCAAATCCCATCATCCATGGTCCATCCTCCCCTAAACTGCACCAGGTCGTAAAGTAGGTCATGGGGGTTATGTGTACCAAGTTTGGTCCAGGTCTGGCATTCATGCTGGTCCCAGTGGTTTCACAAAGTGAGTGACGGTACTGCAAGTCCCATCATCCATGGTCCGTTCTCCCCAAACCCACACCAGGATGTCCAGTGGGTCATGGGGTTTCTGTTTGCCAAGTTTGGTCCAGTTCCATCATTGGTGGGCATCCCAGTGGTCTGTGGTAGCTGAAGCGATTGAAAGTACTACAAATCCCATCATCTATTGATACTCCTTTTTTAACCCCTGTGACTTTCTGACAAATAAAATCCAGTTTTGCTCATATATTCAACCACCTAAGATAATGTGGATGGGAAATTATATTGCCTTCGTTGGTGGCATTCCTTGTAACTATGCGCATATCATATGGCACACATTACCATTTTATATAAGTATTTTTATGGGAGGGGGGTCCTTAATTATGCATTTGGGGGGTATTATTATTATTATTATTATTATTAGGAGCCATGGTGGTGAAATGGGTTAAACCCTTGTGCCAGCTGAACTGCTGACCTGAAGTTTGGCGGCTCAAATCTGCAATACGGGGTGAGCTCCTGTCTGGCAGTTCCAGCTTCCCATGTGGGGACATGAGAGAAGCCTCCCACAGGATTGTAACACATTTGGGTGTTCCCCTGGGCAATGTCTCTACAGACGGACAATTCTCTCACTCCAGAAGCGACTTGCAATTTCTCAAGTTGCTTCTGACATGATAGAAACATTATTATTATTATTATTATTATTATTATTATTATTATTATTATTATATTATTATTATTAGAAACACAAGAAGATGAGTCTACAACAGACAAGATCACTCTGCCGGTTGTTGTATTGGATCACACGATGGATGCGTCCCATGTGTCTACGACTACGTGATGTTGTATTATTATTATTATTATTATTATTATTATTATTATTATTATTATTATTATTAGATACACAACAAGATGAGTCCACAGCAAACAAGGTCACTCTGTTGGCTGTTGTATTGGATCACACTTTGGACACTTCCCAAGTGTCTAGGACTGTGCGATGTATCAGTTAATAATGCATGCTGATCTGAATCAGGTGGCCTTTTGCAGCGGACAGGTGGGGATTTTGTCAGTGCTGATTGTGTTTAAGTGCAGACCAAGGTCCTTAGGCATTGCACCCAGTGTGCCGATCACCACTGGGACCACCTTGACTGGCTTATACCAGAGATTTTGCAGTTCAATCTTGAAATCCTCATATCGTGTCAGCTTTTCCAGTTGCTTCTCGTCAATCCTGTTGTCGCCTAGGATTGCAACATCGACGATCCATACTTTGTTTTTTAACACGGTTGTGAGGTCAGGAGTGTTGTGCTCCAAAACTCTGTCTGTCTGAATCCGGAAGTCCCAGAAGAGTTTGGCGTGTTCATTTGGTGTGATCCCACCAGTTCGTTGTCGCAGGCAGATGGTGTTTGTGGAACAAGTTCCAATGAATCACCTGACTAACGGTGTTGTGCCTCTGCTTGGAGTCTGTCCACGATCTTCTTGCAGCAGCTGAGGATGGGATGTATTGTTTCACCTACTTCTTTGCAGAGTCTACACTTGGTTTCTGTCGTGGACTTTTCAGTTCTGGCTTGGCTGGCCTTGGTTCGAATGGCTTGTTCTTGGGCTGCCAGAATCAGGCCCTCCTTTGTCTCCTTTTTCCGAGTCCCATTTGTGAGCCACAGCCATGTTTTTTCTTTGTCCATTTAGCTCTCAATTTTCCCCAGGAACTGTCCACGGAGAGAGAGCCTTCTTTGGCCAGTTTTCTCTTCTACTCTGGATTGTGTTTTGACGGTATTCGCTCTTTCTCTTTTGTACTTTAAGCAGTTTACTATTCTTGACTTCCCTTAATGTTGGTTCTTGATTGCCTTTCCCATCATGTACAATTCTGGTTGCTTCTGGATCGAGAGAATCAGCCGTCTACGAAGATGTTGCCCAGGGGACGGCCGGATGTCTTGCAATCCTGCGAGGTGGCTTCTCTCATGTCCCCCATCTCACATCTCACATGGAACACATCTCACCACGCTAAAACAGTGGATGTGGCTCTTAATGAGACATGCCGCATTATCACGGGGTGTCTGCGCCCTACACCACTGGAGAAATCACTCTGTTTAGCTGGCATTGCACCACCTGACATCTGCCGGGAAGTAGCAGCCAATAGTGAAAGGACCAAGGCAGAGACATCTTCAGCTCATCCCCTGTTTGGGTATCAGCCAGCACGTCAACGACTTAAATCAAGAAATAGTGTTCTAAGATGTACAGAGACACTCGCTGGAACACCTCAGCAAGCGAGAGTCCAAAAGTGGCAGGCTCAATCCCAGAACCTGATATCAAAGGAGAGACTCCCCCCTGGGCACACAGAAGACTGGGCGACTTGGAAGGCGCTGAACAGACTGCACTCTGGCACCACGAGATGCAGAGCCAACCTTGAGAAATGGGGCCACAAAGTGGAATCCTCGACATGCGAGTGTGGAGAAGAGCAAACCACTGACCACCTGCTGCAATGTACCCTGAGCCCTGCCACATGCACCATGGAGGACCTTCTTGCGGCAACACCAGAGGCACTCCAAGTGGCCAGATACTGGTCAAAGGACATTTAATCAACTACCAAGCTTGCAAACTTTGTGTTTTGTTTGTCTGTTTGTTTTGTTCTGTTAGAAATGTAATACAATTGTCTGGTTGCCCCTGACACGATAAATAAATACTATCTGGGTGTTGTTGTTGTTGTTGTTGTTGTTTTGCACCATTGATCCTAGCAATGGGGCAAAAAATGGGGCAGGAGAGGATTTGGTGCAGAAGTAAAAACAAAGGAAGGAAAGAAAAGAAAGAGAGAAAGCGAGAGGCGCCTTTGCATTCCAAAGCCATGTGTCACACAGTGGAGTGGCGCAGAGGCTGCTGGGACTTGTAGTTTCCTCTCTTTTGGGATAAAGGTGGGTCTCTCAATTGCTTCTCCTTGCTATGGTTTTTCTGAGCATGAGCAGAGTGCCTTCATGGCAGCAAATGGGACAAATATTTGAAAGGATCCCCTTTTAAGAACCCCCTTTTATATACTTATAGATACAAAGGTTATATGATTTTCAGGGACTACTTTTCCCAGAATTCCCAATCCAGTGGATTATGGTTGTTGTAGTCTTCTAAAAAAAGTCACTTTTTCTCAGCCCTTTTATATACTTATAGATACAAAGGTTATATGATTTTCAGGGACTACTTTTCCCAGAATCCCCAATCCAGTGGATTATGGTTGTTGTAGTCTTTAAAAAGTCACTTTTCCTCAGCCTTTTTATATACTTATAGATACAAAGGTTATATGATTTTCAGGGACTACTTTTCCCAGAATCCCCAATCCAGTGGATTATGGTTGTTGTAGTCTTTAAAAAGTCACTTTTCCTCAGCCTTTTTATATACTTATAGATACAAAGGTTATATAATTTTCTGGAACTACATTTCCCAGAATCCCCAATCCAGTGGATTATGGTTGTTGTAGTCTTTTTAAAAAAGTCACTTTTCCTCAGCCTTTTTATATACTTATAGATACAAAGGTTATATAATTTTCTGGAACTACATTTCCCAGAATCCCCAATCCAGTGGATTATGGTTGTTGTAGTCTTTTTTTAAAAGTCACTTTTCCTCAGCCTTTTTATATACTTATAGATACAAAGGTTATATAATTTTCTGGAACTATTTTTCCCAGGATCCCCAATCCAGTGGATTATGGTTGTTGTAGTCTTTTTTTTAAAGTCACTTTTCCCCAGCTCTAAATACTTTTGGGATTTATTATCAAAAATGTATTATCCTTTCAAACTGTATGGCTGGTAGGGGATAATGGGACCGGTTATATAATTTTCTGGAACTATTTTTCCCAGGATCCCCAATCCAGTGGATTATGGTTGTTGTAGTCTTTTAAAAAAAGTCACTTTTCCCCAGCTCTAAATATTTTTGAGATTTATTATCCAAAATTTATTATCCTTTCAAACTGCATGGCTGGTAGGGGATAATGGGACCTGTCATGCAAAATGGCACACAGGCTTTTTAAGCAAGGAGTACCAAAGGATTCTGGGAAATGTAGTCCAGAAAAAAAAACCACCTTCCTTTCCTATCCAAGCCCTGCTGTTAAATAGAGAGTCCCAGAGGATTTGGGGGAAATTATGTTACCTAATGCAAAAATAATTGTATCTAGGAGGGAATTATGGGAGTTGTAGTCCACCCCTTTTAATTTTTTTTTAAAAAAACTCAACAACTATTTTTTTTATAAACTTTGAAAATCACAGCGCTAATAAGTCCCCCTTCCCCCAAAGTGATGCAGGTAGCTGGGTGATGATGGGAGTTGTTGTCCTTTTTAAAACACCTGTGATTCCTTCTTAGGGTTATTTTGAGCACTGATTTCCCCAGGATTTTTGGAGACTACAGTCCAAGAAGGCCCTTCCCCCCCAAAGTGATGCTGAGCGATGATGGATGTTGTAGTCCTTTAAAAAAACCACTTTCTTGAACCCCCCCCCCCCTCCGAGAATTATTTTGAGCACAGACTTCCCCAGGATTTTGCAGACTATAGTCCCTTCCTGGATAAATGTGGCAGTTGGGGTGGTGGTGATGGGAATTGTAGTACAAATTGTGGGGATTGTTGGATTTGTAGTCCAATTTGGGGATAATGGGAGCTGTAATCGCAGTCCGGAGGGTGATGGGAATGGTAGTCCAAGTCAGAAGTATTGTAATCTGTAGTCCATGTCTGGGGATGATGGGAGCAGTAGTGCAAGTAAGGGTATGATGAGAATTGTAGTCCAATATGTGGGAATGATGGGAATTTTAGTCCAAGTCAGGATTTGTTGGAACTGTAGTCCAAACTGGGGGAATGATGGCAATTTTGTCCAATTGGGTGTGTGTGATGGGAACTGTAGTCCAAGTCTGGAGGAATGATGGGAACTGTAGTACAAGTCATGGATTGGTGAGAATTTTAGTCTAGGGTGGGGTAAATGATGGAAATTGTAGTCCAAATCGAGGGTAATGGAAACTGTAGTCCCATTCAGGATGAATGATGGGAACTGTAGTCCAAGTCGTGGATTGGTGAGAATTTTAGTCTAGGGTGGGGGAAATGATGGAAATTGTAGTCCAATTCGAGGGTGATGGGAGCTGTAGTCCAATTCTGGAGGAATGATGGGAACTGTAGTCCAAGTCGTGGATTGGTGAGAATTTCAGTCTAGGGTGGGGGAAATGATGGAAATTGTAGTCCCATTTGGGCTGTGTGATGGGAACTGCAGTCCAATTCTGCAGGAATGATGGGAACTGTAATCCAAGTCGTGGATTGGTGAGAATTTTAGTCTAGGGTAGGGGAAATGATGGAAATTGTAGTCCAATTTGAGGATGCAAACTGTAGTCCAATTCTGGAGGAATGATGGGAACTGTAGTCCAAGTCGTGGATTGGTGAGAATTTTAGTCCAGGATGGGGGGGTGATGGAAATCGTAGTCCAATTCGAGGATGATGGGAACTGTAGTCCAAACCTGGGGGGATGATGGGAACGGTAGTCCCAGTCTGGGGAAATGATGGGAATTGTAGTCCGAAGGGGGAAAAAACCCTTCCTTGGTCCTTTCTCAAGCTGTTGGGTTTTGAAGGTCGTTTTCCCGATGGGATGATGGGGTTGGTAGTCCCCAAAATGTGTGGACCAACTTTGGCCTTCCCTCCAGGTGTTTTGGACTCCAACTCCCACAATTCCTAACAGAAGGGAGGCCTATCTTAGAAGAAGGAAGGCAGGCAGGGAGGGAGGGAGGCGCTCTGCCCATGCTCAGAAAGCCCTTGGCTGAGGAAAGAGAGGAATGTGGGAAGGAAAGGAGGGAAGGAGGGAGGAGGAGGAAGAGGAGGGACTACCTGTGGCCTTGCGACAGAAGAGGGAGGGAAGGAAGGAGGGAGGGAAGGAAGAGGAGGAGGAGGAAGGAAAGAAGGGCGAAACCTGGTCGGAGGAGGAAAAGAAGAAGGAGGAGAAGGAGGAGAAGGAGGACCCCTCTTCCGCCCCGCCTGAGGTCAGTTCTGGGAGGGAAAACTTTGGCAAAAGTTGATGAAAAGGAGAAGGAAAAGAGGGAGGCTGGGTGGGCAAAAGATCAGAAGGGGGGGGGGTGTCCTTCTCTTGGATGCAAACTCAGAGAAATAGTAGCTTGCTTTTGAAACCGCAGCCAGTGCGGCTTTTCCCCGACTTTCCTTTGGAGAGGGGTCTCTGGCCCCCCAAAGACCCCCTTTCCCTCGACTTTGGTGTGTTCTGTATGGGGAGGGGGGCCCCCTTCCTTCCCAGTTACCCCCTTTCCTTCCTTTCCTCCCTTTTTCGCCTTCCTCCCTTCCTTCTCCTCCTTTCCCTTTCTTTTCTTTTTCGCCCTCAAAGTTTCTTGGGAGTCACAAAACTTGCACAGACTTTTGAGACTTTTCTTTGGGGTGTGTGTGTGTGTGTGTGTGATTAGGATAATAATAATAATAATTATTATTATTATTATTATCCTCATCATTCCTCCAAAGAAAAGTTTCAAAAGAGAATAGCTGTGCAAGTTTGTAACTCCTACAAAATAATATATCTATATATATAATATAATATATAATAATAATAATAATTATTATTATTATCCTAATCACATAATCCTAATAATAATAATAATAATAATATATTATATTATATTATATCGATATATTATTTTGTAGGAGTTACAATTCTTTTGAGACTTTTCTTTGGAGGAATGATGAGGATAATAATAATAATAATAATAATATATTATTATTATTATTATTATTATTATTATTTAGATATATTGTTTTTGTAGGAGTTACAAACTTGCACAGCTATTCTCTTTTGAGACTTTTCTTTGGAGGAATGATGAGGATAATAATAATAATAATAATATATTATTATTATTATTATTATTATTATTATTTAGATATATTGTTTTTGTAGGAGTTACAAACTTGCACAGCTATTCTCTTTTGAGACTTTTCTTTGGAGGAATGATGAGGATAATTATAACAACAACAACAACAACAACAATCATAATAATAAAGATTATATATTATATTATATTATATAGATATATTGCTTTGTAGGAATTATAAACTCGCACAGCCATTCTCTTTTGAGACTTTTCTTTGGGGGGGGGGGGCTATGATGATGGTATATTATTTATTGCTATTATTATTTTGTAATTCTTTCAACATGATATTAATATAATTATATATAATATAATATATTATTATCATCATACAAAATAATACACTATATAATGTTATTATTGCTATTATTATTTTGTATTTGCTTCAAAATGATGATAATAATATAACCATATCTATATTCTATGTAATAATATAGAATATAATATTATATTATCATAATGTTGAAAGAAATGCAAAATAAAAATGGCAATAATGATTTTATATAGTATATTATTATTATTATTCTTTGGTATTTATTTCTACATGATGATAATAATATAACCATATCTATATTCTATATAATAATATAGAATATAATATTATATTATCATAATGTTGAAAGAAATGTAAAATAAAATGGCAATAATGATTTTATATAGTATATTATTATTATTATTATTATTTGGTATTTATTTCAACATGATGATAATAATATAACCATATCTATATTCTATGTAATAATATAGAATATAATATTATATTATCATAATGTTGAAAGAAATGTGAAATAAAAATAACAATAATGATTTTACATAGTATATTATTATTATTAGTATTATTATTATTTTGTATTTATTTCAACATGATGATAATGATAATAATACATTATACTATATATAATTATATGATGTCGAAAGAATTACAAAATAATAATAGCAATAAACAATATAATATAATACATAATATATTATTATCGTCATGTTGAAATAAATACCAAATAATAATGGCAATAATAATATATAATAATATTTATTATTTCGTATTTCAACATTTATTTATTTATTTAATCTATTATTATCATGTTGAAAAAATACACATTAATAGCAATAATAATATATTATATGTATTATAATGTTGAAATACATACAAAATAGTCACAATATAATAATATATAATATATTGTCATCATCATCATGAAAGAAATACAAAATAATAGTAGCAATAATAACATAATATAATAATACAATATATTATTACAGTATTTATTGTTATTTTATATTTCTTTTAAATACAAAATAATAATAGCAATAATAATATATAATAGAATATATACTATATTATTAATATATAATATAATTTATTATTGTTGTTATTATTATTATTTTGTATTTGTTTCAGACATCATGAAAATACACCCTCAGACTAAAATGAACCTTCCATACCTTTTCCTTTCTCTTCCTGCTTTCCTTTCCCTCCTCTTCCCTCTTTCGCGTTCTTCTCTTCCCCTTCCCCACTTTTTAAATATTTTCTCTCTCATTTTTCTTGGGTCATGTCTGGACTTGCTTCCCGGAAGGTATTTTTTGGGGGAGACTCAGGTGGCAGATTTTCCTGGATGGCATTCTTTTTGGTCACAGGGAAAGGAAAGGCCTAGCAAACAGCTAACAGTTTGCAAGGTTTGCTCTCTTCCTTTCCTTTATTTCTTTCCCTTCCTTGCTTTTCTTTCCTCCCTCCCTTTTATTTCCTTTCTTTCTTTGTTTTCTTCCTACCTTTTACTTTCTTCCCTTTCTTTCTTTCTTTCTTTCTTTCTTTCTTTCTTTCTTTCTTTCTTTCTTTCTTTCTTTCTTTCTTTCCTTGCTTCTCCTTTTTTCCTTCTTTCTTTCCTTCCTTCCTCCCTCTCTTCTCTTCTTCCTCGCTCCCTTCCTTCTTTCTCTCTCCCTCCCCCTTCCTTAACTTCATTCCCTTCTTACTTCCCTCCCTACCTTTTCCTTCCTTCCTTGCCTCCCTGTTTCCCTTCATTTCCCTTCCTGCTTCCTTCCTTCCCGTCTTCCTCCCCTTCCTTGCTCCCTTCATTCTTTCCTTCTTTCTCTCTCCCTCCTCCTTCCTTAACTTCCTTCCTTCCTTCCTACCTCCCTACCTACCTTTTTCTTCCTATCTTCCTTCCTTTCCTTGCCTCCCTCCTTCCTTCTTCCCTTCATTTCCCTTCCTTCCTTCATTCCTTCCTTCCCTCCTTTTCCTCTACTTCCTTCTTCCCTCCCTCCCTCCTTTTCCTTCCTTTCCTTCTCCTTCTTCCTTCTTTTCTTCCTCCCTCCCTCCTTCTTTCCTTTCTTTCTCCCTTCTTCTTCATTTCCCTTCCCTTCCTTCCTTCCTTCCTTCCTTCCTTCCTTCCTTCCTTCCTTCCTTCCTTCCTTTCCTTGCCTCCCTACTTCCCTTACTTTCCTTCATTTCCCTTCCTTTCCTTCCTTCCTTCCTTCCTTCCTTTCCTTGCCTCCCTACTTCCCTTCATTTCCCTTCCTTTCCCTCCTTCCTTCTTTCCTTTCTTCCTCCCTCTTTCTTCTTTCCTTCTTCCTCCCTTCCTTCCTTCATTCCTTTCCTTCCTTCCTTCCTTCCTTTTTCCCTTTCCTTCCACCTTCCTTCCTTCTTTTCCTTCCTCCCTCTTCTTCTTCCTCTTTCCTTCCTTCCTCTCCTTCCTTGTTGCGACAAACAACTGTCTTCTCTTTCTTTTGCATTTGAGGTTTTGAAAGGAGTGCTTTTTTACCAGGAAGAAAGAGCATTTTGTGGACAGGCTTTCTTGTTGGAGCTTTCCTTCCTTCCTCCTTTTCCCTCATACACTTCCCCTCTCCTTCCTTCCTTCCTTCCTTCCTTCCTTCCTTCCTTCCTTCCTTCCTTCCAGGAGCACCTACACTGCACTGAATGCAGTTTGACACCACTTCTCTTGCCCTGGCTCCATGCTATGGGATCCTGGGAGTTGTAGTTTCCCAAGGACTTGACCATTAAATTAAGTGACCATTAAATACGGTTTTAAGTTTTGTTTTTGTTTTGGAGCCTCAATAAAAAGTAACAGAAAGTGTCATAATAATAAAGGTGCAAAGAGGAAGTGAAATGGCTACTTTGTTTCAGTGTCTTAAGGCAAAAAGTAGCCTTTAATAAGAGGGTTGGGGAGAAAAGTTACTTTCTGAACTCTGCAGGAGTTTGGTGAGTTGTCTCTCTGGTTCAATGGATCAAGGCGATGGGGATTTATTGGGTTTTTATTGGTCTAACTTCCAATTAGTTGAAATCTATATATTACTTATCCACCCACCCACCCATCTATCTCAAAGTCTATATGTGTGTCTGTCTGTCTGTCTGTCTATGTATACCTCAAAGGCTGTTGCTATGTGAAGTGGCCTTCAGCAATGTCGCTGGATTGGTTGTTGCTAGGTGAAATATTGTTGCTAGGCAACAGACCGGCTGTTGCTAGGTGGAGTGGCCCTCTGTGATGTGATGTCACTGGTATGTGAAAGAAAGGTGACACATACAAGGAGAAAGGAGGGAGGGAGGAAGAAGAGATAGAAAGAGAAAAAAGAATGGAAAGAAAGGAAGGAAGGAAAAAGAGATAGAAGGAGAAAAAAAGAATGGGAAGGAAGGAAGGAAGAAGAGATAGAAAGAGAACAAATAATGGAAAGAAAGGAAGGATAGAAGAAGAGATAGAGAAAAAAGAATGGGAAGGAAGAAGAGATAGAAAGAGAAAAAAGAATGGAAAGGAAGGAAGGAAGGAAGAAGAGATAGAAAGAGAAAAAAGAATGGAAAGTGAGGAAGAAGAGATAGAAAGAAAAAAAAGAATGGGAAGGAAGGAAGAAGAGGTAGAAAGAGAAAAAAGAATGGAAAGGGAGGAAGAAGAGATAGAAAGAGAAAAAAGAATGGGAAGGAAGGAAGAAGAGGTAGAAAGAGAAAAAAGAATGGAAAGGAGGGAAGGAAGGAAGAAAGAAGAGATAGAGAAAAAAGAATGGAAAGGGAGGAAGAAGATATAGAAAAAGAATGGGAAGGAAGGAAGAAGAGATAGAAAGAGAAAAAAGAATGGAAAGGAAGAAAGGAAGAAGAGATAGAAATAGAACAAAGAATGGAAATGGAGGAAGAA